ATTATCATCATCATGATTGGCATTAAACATCCATGTGATGACAATTTGTTATAACATTCTATTTTTTTCAAGTATTTGTATATTATTATTCTAATAAAAATACTGTCGTACCAAACAAACAAACAGAAAAATCTTATATAGCAAAAAAGAAAATATGAAAAACTTTAGATCCGAATAAATGAAGTGAATGAAGAAAGAGAAGACGATAAATTATGATTTTTTTTCCACTTTTTTGTTTAGTAGTTTGGATTGACTTTACATAAATAAGTTTCTGTTCATTTGCAAATATACAAATAATCAACCATAAACTGTAGGGAATTTTTTTTTCTGGTAAACAAACAAAACGGAAAAAAAATTTTCGATATTCAAATTCATTTTTTCCACCCAATAACAATAATAATAAATCTAGCTACCTGTATTTCTGTTTTTTTTTCTTCTTACCATTTGGTTGATTCTTTGCTAGTTTTTTTTTGTTTGTTTGTTTGTTTATCTCATGGAAAAGAAGTAGAAGTGCAAAAAAAAAACCATTGAAAATTGATTGATAATATGATGGCATATGGTTTTTTTCAAGATATATCTTTTTGCTATTTCTCATTTGCTTTTCAAGTAATCTTTATTATACAAATCTCTATAGAAATAAATCCAATAGTAAGTTAGTAAAGTAAGTAGATTACAATAACCATATTGGATTTTTTTTTGATTTGTTATCCTTAAATTGTGTGTGTGTGTGTGTGTAATAAGGATGCGATTTGTAGCAATAAAAATATTGTAGATTATAATTTTAATTATAGAAAATTCCATGGAAATAAAAATGAAACATTAATTTTATCGAAAAAAAAATAAAAATCTTTTGCCCTCTATTGAGATTCATTCATTCATTAGAATTTTCTGCATGATAAACTTTCGAAAAAGAATTTTTTTTTTATGATTATTCAACGTACTTATCACCTCCGCCCATTCTTTACCTTTGACTTTTTTTTTTGCTTATTACAATTCTCATCATCAAGACATTGGAAAAAAATATTCAAGAGATAGAGAGGGAGAGGATGATACGCACGTCTGATCTCAGACAACAAGGGCAATGGCATGATGTTGTTGATAGAGACCATTTTTCATTTCAAAAAAAAAAAAATTCGTCGGTTGATAATGATGATGATTATATGATGGTTGAACTATTGTTACAGTGTGTGTTTATGTGTGCATATAACATGTATAAGTATGTGATGATTGGGGCCAACTTTGATCAACAAAAAAAAGGCGAAAGTTGATCTCCTTACTTATGGTGAATGCGAATAAGAATCTCAGAATGATCTTGAATTTAATTTCTGTTAAACAACAATTCAAAAAAAAGGAAAGAAAAGAAAAAATGAATGGCTAACAAGACAGGTTGGTTGGTTGGTTGGTTAGTTGATTGTTCAACAAACATTTATCACTAGTACAATTATTATTATCATCACTACTACCACAACCAATCATGATGATGATGAGGTTTGTATTAGTAGAATTATAAAATTTCGTGCTTAAAAAAAATCAGAAGATTTTTTTTCATACATTCACGCACACATCCACTTTTGGATTAGAATTTAGAGAATTGATGGTAAACGGATCTTGACTATATTTTTTCCTATTTCTTATTATTTTATTCATCCTTATATCATCGATGATTATATCGAAGAAACTGATGAAGTTGAAAGAAATTCCATTCATTCTCATCATCATCATTATCAATTGGCTATAATTTTCTTTTTTCTTTTCGCAAAAAAAAATTCTTTTTACCCATATCAAAAAAGAAAAATTTGAAATCGAAAGTTTAAATCTAATCATTTTTCGTTATCTTTTGTCTGGAAATTTTTCTAGTCAAACGGGCATATGGCACGCTATTCGGAAATGATAATGATGATTGCTGTTCGCTCAATCACACACAAACACACACACACACACATAATGACATTATTTTCAATTCAAATGATTATTGAAAAACAATTGTTGACATTTGTTTGATGAGAAAATTCGTTTTTTTTTTGTTGTTGTTGTTGTTTGAAGAAACCTGATGTTCACCTGTCTGATGTAATGGTATCATTGGATTTTTATTTTTTTTCGGAAACAATAGCCATCATCATCATCATCAAGATCGTCAATAAGATCGTGAGGATGTCAGAAAAAAAAGAAAAAAGAAAAATCAATCTTTATCCAATGTCTGTCTGGTATGTATGGTGAATCTTTTCTTGTTTCCATCATAGTCTCAATCATTTTATTATTCTGATTATTGTATGCATTCCATTTGAATGGTTTTTTTTGTTGTTTATACAGTGACCTTGTTAACCTTTATGACCTTTTCTTACAATGAGAATGAGAAAGAAAAAAAGATTCTTTTGATTTTTTTTTTTTTGATGAAAAAAAGAGAAAATTGGGAAGAAAAAAAATTGGGCTTGTTTCAATGTCGGTAGGTCGATGTGGATTTGATGATGATAATGATGATGATGATCATCTCAGCATAAAAACAGAAACAACAACAACAACAATCTTCATGGACCACATATAATACAGGTTTTTCTGTTTTGTTTGGGACGTGACCAAAAAAAAAAATGATTGGCATCGATAACTAAATGTTGACGACAGGCAAAACAAAAACAAACAAACAGATAAATATATAAACAAACAAGGTTCTAGCTATAATCATTATTTATAAAATTTGAGTTTATCGAATCAAAAAGTAAAAATTAAAAATAAACGATCATTATAAATAACGATGATGATGATGATGATTATCAATCCTGGTTTTTATCAATCTTTGGAATTTGTTCAGATTCATCAATGATCATCAATCACAGAATAGGAATTTATTTAACAAGAAAATAAAAATGACATTCACCCTATTTGATCATTGGTGTCAACCAATATAATGAATGTTTTCAAGTAGAATGGTTTGGTTTGATTTAAAAAAAAACAAAATTAATGATGATGATGATGTGATCATAATATTGGTCGTAGTCGTCGTTATAACCAAAATGAATTACAAACAAAAAAATGTAAAATAAATGATGATGATGTCGATGATTATCTTGAAAAAAAAGGAATCGAACATTTGAAAAGATTATATTCGAAACGAAAACAAAAACAAAAAAAAATTAAGTGAACATGATTTATATCTGTGATAATATTGCAAAGCAATTCAACCAAAGAAAACCTCAATAAAAACAAAGAAAGACCGACAGCAGCAGGTAACAGGTTGGTGTTTGATCATTTGATGATCATGGTATTTTTCAGTTTAAAAGAATGACGATAATCTGATATTTGGATTTAAAGTTGATCATGACTAAATCTCAAATTTATCAATCCAATCAATATCATCATCATCATTGTTGATGAATAAAATTCCTTAATGAATTCGTTTTTCTTATTTTTGTTTTAGTTTTTTCCATTTTCAAATCAAATTTGATTGATTAATTTTTCTTCAGAAAAAAAATCGTTTCGATTAACTTTCACTACAAAGATTTATTTATTGATTGATTGAAATGAAAACGAAACAAAAACAAAATTATTGAATTTCATCAATAATAAATGATCATTTTTTTCGACCAAAACATTTTGGTTACTTTTTTTGGTATACAGGTCGAATGTTTCTTCTTCTTCTTTGGGGTGAGGTGAGGTAAGGTGAGGTCAATGTTGTTTAGAGGAAAAACAAAAAAAAAAGATCGATTAACTAGCTGAGGCGTGATGACAGCTGCCTATTAAAGCGAAAAAAAATTATTCATTCATGGTAGATAAAATGATTTTTAAAAAAGCAACAACCACAATGTTTATTATTATTAAAGAAGAAAAGCCACAAAAATGATGATGGAAATTGAAAATATTCATTTTGTTTCTATAAGGAAAAATAACACTTGAAAATATTTGCTGGGTCGATATCTAGATAGATTGTCTTTGTTTCCAATCAGATTATTATATAAGAGTTTTGCATCATTTGTATTTGTTTGTGTGTGTGTGTAAAATCAGAGTAAAAGATAAATTTCATTTACAAGCCATTATTTTGTGTGTGTGTTTTTGAATATGTACTGTTGTTTACACATTTTACATCCATAAAAAAGATAAGTAAGAAAAAAAGGTTTCCATATGACAACGGATCAGTTTAATTCAATGATAATATGGCTATATGTGATTGGGTGACTGATTGATTTGATGACTTTCATACAAATTTTCAAGAAAAAAAATAGCAAGGTATTTTATTTTTTTTTATACTTTAATTTTAATATTTTTTAATTTTGAAAATTTATCACTCAGTAACAAGGGAATCGTTCAACCATTCAATCTGTAATGATGATTGTCGAATGAATGAATATAATTTTTGGTTGTTATCACCATCAAAGACAAGAACATCACTAACATCATCATCTACATCATGTTTGATGATGATGATGTCGGCATCGGATCCTTTGATGTGTGCCATATAATGGCCATCATCGTCATCTACATCATCAATGAGATAGTCACATCAACAGCATGACCACAACCAGCTAACAAAAAAAAAGGAATGGTATTTTTGCCATTACCCAAAGCTTTACATTTGTTCATCTTGTAAATCTTGTACATTAAGATAGTTATTTTATTTTATTTCTTTACATTTGAATGCCACGATTATATTATATAAGTAGTGAATCGCGTGTTTCTCCTCTTAATTTTTTTATTATTCTTTGGTTCCTTGCGGCCAATTTTGCCATTAGATCATCACGATAATTGGTTGTGTGGTGCCATCTATTTTTCTTGAATACAGCAATCATACAATTTACATCATTCATTTAGGATAATTGCAATGAACATTTATTTATTATAATGATAATAATAATAATAATAATAATATTTGTAAATCAAAGAAATTTATAAAAGATCTGTGTGTATGTGAGTATAAAAATCAGATATGGATAAGTAGTATTGATGACAAATGAGAAAACAAATATTATATTGATCAAAGTCGGTTTAATTTCATAATTATGATAATAATCGGTGGTAATAATTATAACAATAATAATAATAATAAAATCATCAATCTGACAATTGTAACAATGCATCGATAAATGTCTTGAAAAAAAATTTGGCCAGCCAAAAAAAAATAAAATATTTACGAATTCCATCCGAAAATGATTTTCGATCAATTCAAATATCGAAACACCAAATCAGATTCAAAAAAAAAAACAATTCCGCCAAACAAATCCAGACAATCATTGTCATTGCAGATTGGATATTATTATTATCGTAATCGAGACGAGACAAACAATCTGTAAATGAAAATAATAAAAAAATTGCATTAAGTAAATTGGAAATGAATTGATTTTAGGATAAAATTACCTGATGAGTAATTTAGACCCAAGTACTGGTACAATTATGTACCTGTCCCGATGTTGATGGCACCTGATCAGATTTATTATTATCTGTATGAGCATTATTAGGTAGATTGGTATTTGCTTTGGCCGTTGTTGTTGAAGATGTTATGACCGAATCATCTTCGGGAATTGGTGGACATCTACCACCGATCGATTGATTTCGATGTCCAATACCGATACATAGACTGGCTGTGGTGTTCTGGCCACTTCCACCAACTACACCAGTAGTCATCATACGATCGGTCGGATTTGTATAAACTTGTGATAAAAATTTTGATTTGGAAAATTTTTTAATGAAATTTGCCATTGATTGATTAGCTTGGGTGTTTAATGGCTTAGATGTTTCGGGTGACCCGTTTGTCGAACTATTCGATGAAACTATCGTGGAAGATTTAATAGGTGACATTGGACTACAAATAGGCGATGACATTGATGAACTGATACCCGATGAGGTTGGCGAAGAAGCCGAAAGAGATTGCGATATCGATCCGTTTGTGGGTAATGGTGGTGGTGAATGACAATTCGGAGATTTGTTTAGAATTTGCTGCAAAGCAGTGTACGTAGATGCAGCTTGTGTGGCGTTAGCCGCAATAATGTTATTGGAATTTGAGCTATTAGTGCTGGAAGTGGAAGTTACCGATGATGGCCTGACCTGTGCTAACAGTCGTTTAAAATCGTTCAATGTAGTTGGCCGTATTGGTCCTAATCGATCTGAAGCTAAACTTTGCCTTGTTCGGTTATTATTATTATTATTAGCAAATGATGGTGATGTTGGTAAACTACAACCACTTGTCCATGATCGACGTTTTAGTGATCCGGTGGCCTCTACATTCTCTTCAATCGCTGTTGTTGAAAGGGGTGATGATAACTCACTTTTATGACCATCAACAGGACTCAAAGGAGATCGAGGTCCAGATGGTGATGAACTGCTACATTGACTGTTGTTAGGCGATGATGATAATCGTTGCGATGGTGAAAAAAGTTGTGGATCCGCACGTATATTGTGACGTTTTTTTGAATTATGCAAAATTATAAATAAATCTTCGGTTGTCAAACGTCTACTAGATTGTTGTTTCATCATTGATGGTGAAGATTCTGTGGGTGATGTTGCCTGAGTTGGAGTTTTTGTAGATCCAATTTGTTTGTCATCATCTGCATTCGGTCCGGATGGATGGTTTTCATGTTCGTTAGTCGATCTAGTATGAATGGCAGTCACAATTGTTTGAGTAGAATCGGGTGAACTAAACGCACCACCACCACCACCAGTTGTCGATGATGAACAAGTACTGGTAGAGAATGTACTTGTACTCATCACTGATGACAATGAAGGTGTTGTATCGCTAGATGTCGAAATGGTGGTGCAAAGAATCAAAGAATTACGTGGTTTCGGTTTTGGAATCGATTCTGGTGATGATGGAGCTTTGATAGTTGAGGAAGATGTCAATGATGAGCAAGACGATTGCTGTTGCTGATTAGTGTTCTGGTTTTTTCGTATCGCCGTCGAAGATTGATATCGATGATTTTGGTGTGAACGTGGATTTTGACGTGAATTATGATGATTCAATGTAAATGAATCCAGCTTTGGTGGCGGCAATGGTGACGAAAGATGTCGATGTTCGAGTTGTTTTTTTGTCATTTTTGGTTGTTGTTGGGATTGATTGTCATCATCATTATCATCCGGATATTGATCCGCCAACACAGGCGTTATAGTTCGATTGCTTATCGATGTATCTGAAGTTTGAAAATTGTTATGCCTTTTCAAAGCCGGATCATTTTCTTCATTTGAGCTTACATCACTTTCTTGTTGAATTGTTTCTGGATTTTCTCTACCAAGTTCATCATCAAAACAAAATGAACTTGGAATACTGACCGATGTAGCCGTATCGGTCATTTGATCAACAATATACGATAATGGTGGATATGAACGATTTGTATCAACATCCATAAACAATCGTCTTCGTCGTTCATCATGAATTGATTGTAATAAATATTCGGAATTACTTTCCGAAACAATGGATACATCACGACTATTATTACCCGATTGATCATATATTTTTCTTTGATGATCATTTGTTGTTCTCGATGAACAACTATTATGATCGGCAGTATCGATCGATTGTCGTTGTTGCTGTTGTCGTTTGTTAGTTGTACGTTTTGTATTATATTTCTGTAATGTTCGTAGCATACTCGACACTCGTGGAGGTGGTGGCGGCGGCGGTAATTTTCGGCAACTACTTGATGCACTACTACTTTCAGTCAGACTAACGTATCGTTTAGGTTTCTGATATCTCGAAGCGTTACCGGCAGTGATCGATGCCGATGTCAATGTTGATGGATGATGATTGATTTTGGTCGCTGATAATGAATGATAATTTCTTGATGTTTTTTGTACATGGCTACGATGATGATGATCATGATTCGCGGTCATCATATCATCATCATTCATCGGTTCAGATTCTTCATAATCATTTGTATGTAATGTTTCAGAACTTGAACTTGAACGAATAGTTCCAGTACCGGTACATGTAGTAGTTTCATCTTCTTGATATGTTCCAGAAGCAGTACGCAATCGATTTGATTGAATATTACGAAGGTAAGATCTCGAACATTGTTGTTGTTGTTTATTGCCTTGAGATTGAGATTGCTGTACAACAATAGGTATTTGATGTGAACAATGTGATACGGAACAATCAAAATCGGCCATCGATGAATTACAGGTACCATAACTAACATGATCCAGTGCTGCGGCCGTTGATGTATCACAGGCATCACTATTTGATAATATCGAATTTATCGATAAATTCGATCCGAATTCTTCCAGTGATGATCGTCTCAAAGAATTGTTACCGTCGTTTGGCTCCAAATTTTGTTCGTTTGCGTTCTTATTTTCTTCTATTTTTTCACAATGTTTGTCCATTTGAGTCGATTGAATGTCAACATCTTTCGTGTCTGTTGTATGAGTGACTGCCAGTTGCGTATGATTACGACGATTAATAACATTAGCTGTAGGATTTAATCGTTTCCAACGATTTTGTTGTTTTTGAATTGGTGATAACAAATTAAATCGATATAATTCATTAGAATCTATTATTCGTCTTTGTTGTTGTTGTTGTTGTTGCAAATGTAGTTGACGTTTGGCCAGGCTAGTCTGACTAGTGAATGTACTGGTCTTAGTTTTGGCATTGTTGACCGTCGAAAATGGTGGTAAAGTTTGATTACAATAATTACTTTGTCCTAAAAAAAACAAACCCGAATCGGTATGCATTGAAGTATAATAGCCATCATTATCAACCGAATAAACAGATTCGGCTTCTTCAGAATTATTATTATTATTTGTTGTTGTAGCTGTTGTCGTAGGTGTTGTTGTTGGATCTAAATGTTGTTGTTGTGATCGAATGTTACGCCGTTGTTGTTGTAGATTTTTATTCACATTTTTCGAAACCATCTGGATATTTAACGGTGGTGATGATGATGACGATGATGATGGTATCAAATCACTGGTAGCTGCACTCCAATTTCCGCTTGATGAACGTGCACCATTTTGTTTTGTTTGACATATTGCAGTTTCAGTATCTTTTTTCGTGTCGATGTCTTCATCATTAATAGTGTTCAAATTGGTGGCATTTGTCGTTGTCATTGGGGCAGTTTGTACGGCTATTGAAGAACGATACTGATCATACATAATTGTTGGATTGATTTTGTTTGATTGTGATGCTGCATCCGAACATTTACCATTGAGGAGAGAGACACCACGATGATTTCGCCATGAAGCCCCTAATTCCATTGATGCAGTAGATGAAGTAGTATCATCGATCCGGGTAGCTCTATGATTTGTTGGTAATTGTTGATTTCGTTTTCGAATGACTACATATTCATCATCATCATCATCATCGTAACCATCATAATCATCATCAGCATCATTGTCATTGTGATGTTGTTGTCGTCGAAGTTGTTTTTTGTGAGTTCTTTGATGATCAATCATCAAATCATTATGATTGCGATGAACTTCTATTGGTACAACAAATCTATTACTATTATTGTTGTTGTTGGATGTCGAGTTTTGTAATGGAGAACCGATTCTCTCCATCATCATCATCATCAGATTATTATCCGTTTGGCATCCTTTTTCAATGGCAATAATTTTCCTGGTTGTATCAGATTGTAATGGTGTCCGATTTTTATGATAGTTAATATCGGCAGGATTTTTCAAATGTCCAAGAGCATAAGGTGATATCAAAGTATCATTGGTATGACGAACACTAATATGATGAGGTGATTTAGATCGAGATCTTCGATGTGTATGATAGCCCAGAATCTTATTTCGTGGTATATGAAATTCAGACTTAAAAAAAGAAAAACAATGATAATTTTGTTTCTGATCAAAGTTGTAAATCAAAATCAACTTACATGTATCAATGATCGTCGTGTATTAGATAATCTATCAAATGAACGACCAGAAACATCAATCGAAACAGTTTGTGAGTCGGAAAATTGTTTGGCCAATAATTGTGATCTTTCTTCGGGTGACATTAATATTATCTCTTTTGGATCATCATCATCATCATCATCATTACCATCATCAGCATCTTTATCATCATGACCAATAGAAGATGTGTGAATACCATTATTCTTATTCTGGTATTTATGACTAGAATCACGACCCAATAACAATTTTTGACGTTCAATTCGTTCATTGTCGGAAAGTGAACCATTATCGACGGCCAAACTTAAACGATTATTATTCGTCAAACGCCAACGTTTAGATAAACGTCGTAATGGAAGTAACGACCAACGACGTCTCAATTTAGGTGAATGTTTATCGATTTCATCATTTTGTTCATCATCGTTGATGATCGTCGATGATTTTGATGGATGACGTCGCAAAGTTATTCGATGTGATGAACAAGGTGGACTTAATGCACGTTCCAATAAAATATGTTCAGGTAATTCGGATGCCGATTTGATGACAATACTTTCAGGCTGAAAAAGAAATAAATTAATTCATTAAAAAAAAGAATGCATGATGTTGAAGGTGAACTTACCCGTCGAGTTTCGATATTCTCTCGAAGCCATATGGTTGTTTCATCCAACAATGTTGGCTTTAATGGCGATGAACCGGTCAATGCCGATGACCATCGTTTATAATTATCATGAACAGTACCGGTTTGAGTTTGATTGCCGGGATTTGAAACCGTACCAGGAGCAAACCCTCTATGATTGGCATTCGGAATAACACCTGTACAATTGGATTCCATAAGCCACCACCAATACCAATAATCGGGTGGAATAACAGTTGACGTTCCCATTGCCATAGCTGCTGCTGTGGTCATCGATTGATTGATCGTTGCATTGGAACTATTCTGCTGACCGGACAATGCCGATTGATGGTGATGATCATCAGGTTGACTATCGCATGAACAAATACATCGATTATTTTCGACCATTTCTTGTCGTTGTTGTTCATTTCCATTTAAATTAACATTATTATCGCGAAAAAAATCATCAATCGTTTTGGTAGTAGTAGCTGTTATTGCTGGTTGACAATTATTGGATTTATTGGAAGTATCATTTGGATAATAATCACCGGATGATGAAAAAGAAGACATTGGAGCTACTTTAGTTTTCGTCGTTGGTCGTAAATTTTTTTGTTCATTTTTATGCATCGTTGATGTTGAAGCAATTGGTTCGAATGTTGACGAAGTAACCGATGACCATGTAACAACCGATGATGATGAAGCTGATGATGTTGAAGAATTAGAGTCATTGGATACAATGCCATTAGTCACATGATGATGACAATATTCACATTGATTAGTATGATTATGTTCATGACTAGAAGATAATGATGATGTGACCATTGAAGAACCAGCATCTAGACCATCACCGGGATTTGATATTGGTAACGATGTATGACAACGGCCACAATGACATTGACATGTTAATGATTGATTTTTTTTAGAATCAACATTATCAATTTTAGACAAAATTGTCATATTTTCGGTGGATAATAATTGATGATTTCTAGCCAACCATAATGATGATGATTTTATGAATGGCGATGAAAATATTGAACACGAAAGTCGTACATCACCGGGTGAATGTGCACGTGCATAAAGATTACGAATCGAAACAGGACGACTATTAATAGTAAATAATGAACGATCTAATTGTCGTGAACTTTTCCAATTGTGATGATGATGATGACCTGATGAATGTTGTTGATTATTTTGAACCGGTTGAAAATGAATTATTTGATTCAGATATTTTAGCTGATGTGGAACATTTCCAATCAATACAAAAGGATCCTGTGACTGTTGTTGTTGTTTTTGTCGAAGTTGATTATAGTAATCAGATATGTGACCAATCGTTGGAACTGATAAAAAAACAAAAAACAAAATTAAATCATTAAGAAATAATTTTCTATTGTCATTTTGGAGGCTAATAACTTTTATCCTATAATTATTTTCCTAATGATAATTGTTTGATGTTAAAAATTATGTAACACACACGTGTATACTGATGATAGAAAGTAAAGAAAAAAGTATCACGTGTGTCTCATCATTATGAATCCTATGACCTAATAGATTTATCCATCAAACAAAGCAACAAAAAAAATGTCCAACATTTTGCATTTTGCAACAGATTTTTATTTTATTGTTAAAAAAATGATGATAATGTCAATTTCTATTTCTATTTTTCAAATCATTAAATAATAAAGATCATTAGGTGTTGACTGCAATGTAACGAGATCTATGAATGATGATGATGATAATAAATTTGATAATAACATGGTTTATAAATAGACAAGATTTTTTTTATTATTATTATCTTTGTGTTCTTTGGTTGTGAATAACATCCATCCGTTTTTTTTCCTAAAATAAATTTATTTTTTTTTTAGTTTCGGTAATGTTTGTTTCGAATACAATCTCATCATGATGATGATGACAGGATTTTGACAAAAAAAAATGATTTCCACTCGAACGTTGACAATCTCGTGTGTGTGTGTCAATGAACAGATCTTTTTTTTTGCTCAAACGTTTCATTTCATTTTGCTATTGTTTCCCATAGAAATTTTTCTTTTTTTTTTTGAATGACAACTGTGTGAAACATGCAAGCAACTGGTTATTCTCAATAATAATAATTGTCTAAATTTTGGTTGGTTGGTTGGTTGGTTGTTGAGCATGAACAGAACCAGGATCGAATCAATCGATTTCTGTTTTCGTTAAGTTTTTTTTTGTTTGAAAAATTTTTATTAATCAAATTGTTTCGTACACAATTTGTACGAAATGATTTTTTTTTCAGTCAGAAATCAACATCATTGTGTCATTGCAAGATGATCAGAATGACAACAATAAAAAAAAAAGTTCAATGATCACTTTCATCTATAGAAAATCTCTGGCTACCGGGTTATTCTCAATCTGGACGGATAACGACAACCAATCATATTGTCGAAAGGGCGTTAACTTCAACAGTGGTTGGTTGTTGCTCGGGTAACAAAAACAAAAAAAAATTGATTCGATTTGATCATGCGTATTTTAATATCATTTTATTGATTACCCGGCCTTTGTTTCGAATCATTTTATCTTGGAAAATAGTTTTTTTTCTAATTTGATTTTCCAAGTTTTGTTCTAGTTTTTTTTTCAATCCAATATCTCTTTATACACAAAAACACAAAAGACTATTTTAGTTCATTAGTGTTGTTATTGTTAGTTTTTCTTCAATTTGAAAAATGTTAAGTGTAACGTGAGTATATTATATGATAATAAAGCAATTAGTAAATAGGAAGGTCGTAGATCAACTTCCATCAGGAGAATCTTTAAAAACAAAAACTTAATTGTTGTTTACCTATGATGTTTGTGTGTGTGTGTTTGTTTGTATATTTGTTTGACCCTTCTTTTTTTTCTGTTGGTCAAAGAAAAAGAAAAAGAGAAAAATTGCTGCAACAAGAATTATTTGTTGTTTTTTTAAATTGACAGGTTTATATACTTTCAACAAAAACAGAAAATATTATCGGGTCACCCACTCATTTTTTGTTTTGTTTTGTTTTTGTTCATTGGTTAAAAAAAAGAAAAGAAAAACCTGAAAACATGAATGCCGGCAATCTGTGAATAAAATTCGAATCATGGCTGCCGGATGCAATTTTCAAATTCTTTTTTTTTTCTTTTAATCCTGTATGATACATTTATAGTGATGTCTGTGTAGGTTGAATATAAATGTAAATGTAACCTATGTATGTATTGGTAATGTCAAAAAAAAAAAAAAAAATGATGACCAAAAATGTCATCAGACGAAGGTCAAACACAAATGTTTTAGTTTTTGTTCAAATGTTTACCACACCCGTTTACACTATTCACCATTCACCCAATCAAAAAACGAAAACACCAAAAGGCGAACACCTGGCCCTCTCGCTCTTTTTTTTGATCAAAGTCAGGCAACAATCTGGCGCAAATAATAATAATAACCGTCAAAAAAAATTGGATTGGAAACCACCATCACCACATCATCATCATCATCATCAAATTTTCATTCATTTATATGAAGAGAACAGAAAAGCCACGCGACCGTTTCATTGCATTCGTTAGTTCAATTCATTGCAAATTTCAATTTTAATTCCAAAATACATCATAATTGTCGACCATGTGTTTGTTGTAGATTCATCACTATTGACTAAATAGTAAAAAAAAAGTTAAATCTTAGACCTTAGGTCTCAACCTTTGACCTAAATCGACGAAAACCGAATAGACCCTTACAATGAAAATGTGCAACGGATGCAATTTTTTCCTGCCTGTTCGTAAGCTTGTCTTTAGTTTATCATCAGTTGGGCATATACTGATCAAATTATGAATTAAACATCATACGGCTATCGATTTTTTTTATTATTATTATTCAACTGGTTTAATATCATGATCAATAATGATTATAATGATGGTAGCTAAATTTTCATCTGGTTATTGATTATTATTACACACACAAAAAACGAAAACGATTGTAAAGATCAAACAACTATTATACGGATACTAAAATGTTTGATTCTAATATGTAAGAAGCATAGATGGAACAAATTGTTTATAGTCATCATTTTAACTTGGCGCGTATACAACAACAACAACAACAAGGTGAAAGGGCGAAGGCAAAACAAGAAAAGAAAAGAACAAGATATAAAGGTGGCCAAAAAAAAAACCGGATTCTATTCATTCGATTCGAACAACTCTTCTATCTATCATAGCATCGACCTACGACAATGACGAGCAAATATTTAAAAAAAAAAAACAATATTGTGATTTGTTTGCTCGACTTGGATCAAAGATCATTATATAAAAAAAAAATCAAACCAATTATTATTTTCGTACAGTAACATTGCAATCATTTATTTTATTCAAACAAAAGAAAAACGGAAACATTTTTTTTTGTTTCTTTTAATCGATTTCTGTACGAAATCGAAAATGATCATCGGAAATATCGATCTAAGATTGAAAGGATAATGAACATCGCCTGACACACACACACACACACTCAGTATAATCAAGATCATCATCATAATTATCAAACAAAACAAAAAAAACCTGTAAATGAACAACATAAATTCACCTGTGTTATTGAGAAACTTATTTTTTTTTTGATTTGATTTTTGATTGGCCTAAATTTTTTTTTTTGTTCCTGTTGTTTTGTTTTGTTTTGCCAAGTGTGTGTATTAGTATAAAGTATTTCTCTCTAAACATGTATGTATTTGAACTATACTGAAAGATGTATTTGAGATTGGCTGTGTCAAAAAAAAAACTCACTGATACAAACAAATAAAAACTGTATAAACGGATTTATAATTAAAAAAAATCATTGATCATAATCAATTTGATCGGTATGAATTCCATCATCATGAAATGATGAATGTTCGGTCAATGATCAATATGTTAATTAATTATATAATACATAAAAAATATAAAGCCAACGTTATTATCTTCAACGAATAATTCAATTTATCTAATTGAATTTATCTACTATAGCCAATAAAATATTTTTGTTTCATCTTGTTTTCTCAAGTTACATAATATATTGACTTGATGTTTTTTTTTCAAGTGAAAAACATTCAGCATCGCTGTGTGTGTGTGATGTTATCGATGTGACGATAATTTTTTTTTTGTTACTTGGGTGCTATGTTTCCGTAATCTCTGTATCATCCCTATACACAACTAAACATCATAAGATTATCAATAAAAATACCTGCACACACACACACACCGGTAAATAAAACGAAAAAAAATTCATTTATTTAGACAGGTGATATATACAATCATATTAGCCAACAGCAACAAAAGTTACTGTGATTTGTTATGATAAATTTTCGTTTTCATTCTGATTAAATCCGATTATATTGAGATATGTATTGGATGTGTGTGTGCAATATGGTGATTTATTGAGTTAAGCTTTCAAACTTATTTGTCTATCTATCTGTTTTGTTTGTTTAAAATAAATAAAATATATCTATTTGTTTTATATATTGATAAATAAAATAAATAATGAATTTGATAGTTTGAGTTTGGAATGATTGGAATGTTAAATAAAATAAATAATTATAATGGAAAAAAAGTTGATTTGATTATTGAAAAATTTATAATCTTACCTGAATGACGCATTATATGATTAAGATGATCAATATTAATAATCAATTTATTGAAACGTGATCGAATCCTAACTGTACGATCAAACATTTGTCTACATTCATCTGTTAGTTCAGAAAATAATTGATCTGCTGATGATAATAATGATGACATTTGTTGTATAATTCCAATTAATGTTCGATTATGTATTTTAACTAATACTTGTTCATCATCGGTCATATCGTTTCCACCACCGGTCATAGGTTCAATGATTTTTGGTCTTTGAATTAATTGTTGATTATCATTTTGTGTTTCAATAATATCATCAACCACATTATCATCATCATTATCACTGAGATGACCATTGCCATTTATCATCATTGATTCATCATGATGTTGTTGTTGTTGTTGTTGTTCATAATCATCATTCACATGATCATCATCACTAAAACAATTCTCACTATTATTATTATTATTAACTTTTGTCATAGCAATTTTTGTTTTTGTTATTTTTTTCTTCTTTGATTTTCGAAGATTCGGTATTGCAGGCAAAATCGGTGGTGTTGTTGTTGTTGTTTTCGTTGCATTCCGTTTGATCGGATAAGAATGTTGACCGTTGTTCAATGTTGATTTTGTAGCTGCTGCTGCTGCTGCAGCAGCAGCCATAGCCGATGCCCATGGTAATGTCCGTGAGACATATACTGGTTCGAGATTCCATTTGGCGAAAGGCATGATTGAATAGAATACGAATATTGCAAATTTTTCTCAACAAAAAAAAAGAAAAAGAAAAAAGATGAATGGCCGATATGTTGACGGTGATTTTTGATTGTGTTCAACTTGTTCACTGTTCACGATGATAGTGGTGGTCATCGATTAATAAGACAAGAATAACGATTGAATATGATTGTGAATAGACCTACCATGATGATGATGATGATAATGGTTATAAGGCAAAGAAAAAAAAGGTTTGCCTTTTTCTACTATAGATTATTGATGTTTATTGGTGCTTTTTCGGTCCTCATTATTATTATGGCAATGGAAACCAACCAAACATTGGACGACATATATTCATTTAGTTTGATTTGACTTGGAGCCGCTGCCACCACCACCATCACTATCGCCACCGTCAAACATACATAATGATTGATGATGGATGCCAATGATCACAACGACCGACCAAACAACCAACCGAAAAAAGATCGATTGAAACACAACCTTCTAAATTATTATTATGATGATTATAATAATCAAAAATAAAAAAGAAAAAAAAACAAGTAATTAATAACATTAAACATATACACGTACGATGTAAAGTAAATTTTTCTTTTTTCAATAATGAATAAATCCATAAAATGAATGATCGAATTGAATTAGCATTTAGCAGATTTTTTCCAGAAAAAAATTCTTCAGAATTTTTTTTTACAACAGAAACTTTATCAAAAAAATTACATAATTTTTAACTAATTGACCAATTACATATATCAAACAATTTCAAGCTTATAAATTGATAGTGGTTTGTTTTTGTTTTGGTTCGGAAATGCATAAAAATGCAAAAATCATCATCATCATCTTTGTTTTTGTTTTTTTTGGAATTTCATGTTCAAAAAAAATGATGGTCAAGTAAGTTAATCTTTTACATTCGATGATATCGTGATGATGATAAGAAAAAGTTGGCAAAAAAAAAATGGTTTACATCTTTATAATAACACAAAATGATAACCATCATCTTGTTTCTCCTTATTATTTATCTGTTATCCATCACAGAAAAAAACAAAACAAAACAAAAAACGATCCATTTTATTTGCCCGTTACCTGATACAGTCATTCAATAATGGATTCCATTCCATTCCATTTTTTTGCCTCTGGCTTAAATAATAATATATGATCGGGTAATCTAGTCGTTAAACCATATAATGATAATCATCATCAATTTGATGATGATGATTTTTTTTTTTGAATGATGATTTATGGATTCCATTCCATTCTAACACACACCTAAAATGATGATGTTTTCAATCGTTTTTTGGTTTTGTTTTTTAAGATGACTAAAACCGTTATCATTTCGAGCCAGATATATTTTTCATTTTTGCTAAAAGGTTTTTTTTCGTGTATGTCATTCTTCAAATGAAAAATCAAAGCTCAAAGTTATCTTAATGATGAATTATATAAAGAAAAAAAAATGATAAGATTTCAAATTCAAGTAGCATTTAATTAGTTAAGAACAAGAAAGAAGAAAAAAAAACCCGGCAAAGTTCACTGTAGTTGATTGATGTCATTTTTTTAAAAATAATATAATATTCACTAAGAGCAAACTTAAATAATCTTTGATGATGATGATGATGATGAACATGAATATTCTCATAATTATCATTATCATCATCATCACCAAAGACATCACACACACATACAAAACATCTGGTATGGTCGGTCAATAATGTCATCTAAGTAGTATCTATATTGACATTTTCTATTCTTAGATTTTATTCAAATTCACATGTAGAATTTAGGAAAAAAACCCCAAGGAAGAAAAACAAAAATTTATTTTTGGACTTGAAATAATCATCAAATGCATAGTTGATACATTTCTCATCATATGAATGTTTCAAAACAAAAAACAATCTTTTTGTGATTATCAAAAAAAAAAGAAACAACAAAAAGTCTTTCTTTGTTCTGAATTGAATTTCATTCAATCAAAAAAAAAATTTATCATCAAAACACAGTAAATAAAATTTATAGAAATATATTTGGGGGACACATGTTGCTATTTGACTTACCCGAAAATTAAATTATTCCTGAGTTGAATTTGTTTGTTTGTTTGTGGATTCAAAATCTTAAATTTTTAACCATCACACACACACACAATTAATCAAAAAAGTTTTCAACAACAAAAAAAAAAATCAAAAACAGTTGTTGTCGATTATGTCACACACACACACATTGATTATGTCATACGAAAAAAAACAAGGAGAAAAAACACAAAATTTTCAATCTTGAAAAACTTTTTCGGAGATGGTCAGAAAATCATGGATCATCATCAAACGATAATCATAATTAAAAATGTTTTTTTTTGTTTTTCTGAACCGAAAAATGGTTAAATGTTGTTTTATTCGTTCTTTCGTTGATCAAAGTCCATACTAACATAACAAACTAAAACTAAAACTAAAACTAACTAGTTTAGAGACTGAGAATCCTATCCAAAATAACACACACACGCAACTGGCTGATATACACACTCTCTTTGTATCATTCTCTCTCTCTCTTTGTATCTTTTATTTCTTTCATTCATTTTTAGCTAGCTGTTCATGGAAATGTTCAATGTACGTAAAAACACACAACAACACAATGATAATATTGGCCACCACTATTTCCACCACATAACTTACTTCCATCACCTTTCAAAATGGTTTTTTTTTCATCGAAAAAATAAAAACTTAAACTTAGCCCCGTATACGTTTTTTTTGCCTGTATTTTTTTAAATGCATTTTTATATGTTCACTTCATTGTAGGATCCTGAGTATTGTATTTGAAATGTAATGTAATGCATCAATAGCTTCTCATATTAAAAATTTTTTTGGATTCAACCGATTCGATTGTGGAACTTGTGTGTGTGTGTGTGTGTGTGTAATTTTTTTGCGCATAATTATAATAACGAACAAAAAAAAAGTGCGCGCGCTAGTTTTTTTTTTGAATGATAACCAAAAATCATATTTTTTCTTTTTATGTTACTGGAAACTTTTCCTGATTATAATTTTCATTTAATAAAATATGCAAAAATGAATTTATAAAAAAAAACTGTTACAATGTAACAAACATTAAACATAAACAGATAAACGCATGCGTTTAACATAATGATTAACGGAAATGATATTTTTTTTTAAATTCAATAAAATATGATATGGATGAATGGATTGATTGATGAACGAATCAGTTTGTTTTTTTTTGTTTTTGATCAAAATGACCTGAATGATATCATTGAAACGGATCATAAACATTGAAACATCGATGACAAGACAATGGCATTCAATTTAACGGAAAACAAAGACCAAACAAAAAAAAACTAATAGACGACAAATAAACCGATCATCATTATCATCATGCTAAGAAGTTATAGCCATTGCCATTTTGATTATTAAAAAAAAAAAGAAAGAAGAAGGTAACATATAATCATCAAACGAATTCGATTCATTTTCTATAATGATGTATTGCGATTGTGTTGCATTGCAATTGTGTTATTTGTGTGTGTAGTCAATTTGAATTTTTTTTTTTTTTTTTTTTTTTTAAAAACGGGGGCAATTTTTCAAGGGAAAAAAATTCATTTAATTTTATTTCTTTCTTTATAA